AAGATTTCCTATTTCCGTAGGCAGTCTGGCAGCGGGACAAACTGTCCTACGAAAGATCAAGCTGGACATGTGTCTTCCTCAGACTCTTCAGGGCGTAGGGACCTTGTAGCCTGGGGGTGCTGGAGGTCTAAGGACCCGTGAAATTGTATGCAGAAGTGTCTGCAGATTCTCATTGTCCTGACAACAGGAGAGGGATCTATTCTCTTGTTCAGGACTGACCTGAACATTTGTCCCCACAGCCAGGCCTGACCACCATGTCTCAGTTTGTTCTCTCGTCCTCCAATTGATTCCGTGCTACTTGAAAAGGGACCTGTGTCTGCATCTGCTGCGGTCTCATGGTGACATTTAGGGATTTGATAGAGCACAGTAACTGCTGAATAGGTCACTGCTGGTGATTTAAAAAAAAAAAAGAAAAAAAAGTGAGCCCATGGTTCCCGGAAGAGGCAAATGTAGCTGTGTTCCTTTAATAGAGCTGACTGGGTCCAGCATTAGGAAGGATTTCCCGGAAGACAGGAACAGGAGGGTTCTTGAAGCTGGACCCTGGCCTCCCTCCAGCTGCAGCTTGGTCCTGGAGGCGATGGTCAACTGACTTGGCGGCAGGTGGTTTCCCAAGGCCACCCCTGCTCCCTGCCTTTTCTCCCTCCCTCAGAAAACTCTGGAGAGCAGTGTGGACCATGCCCTCTCTCACCACCAGGTGGCAGGGCAGTCCTCCTTCCACCAGTTCATCTCAACACCCAGAAGTCATTCTGTATTCTAAATGAATACCCTCAACGGAAGCCCGCCAGGGAATGTGGAGTGCTAGAGAAATTAGCTCTGGAAATATTGGTGGCAGGCTTCACAAGAGTAGGCTATCAGCTACGCTTCTTGGAAAGAAACTGAGTAGATTCCTGGGAAGGAACGGGAGCCATGAGAACTGGTTGTGAAGCAGGGGAATAATAATACAGCAGAGTTTATGACAAAATGCCAGTTTTGGCAAAGGCAGAGTTAAATCTCTCTGTATGAAGATGGATAGGGGGTCAAGTCAAGTAGCTAGATGGAAAAAGATGGTGTTCAGGGTAGCATGTCTGCTCCAAGGAGGCAGCTGGGCCTGAGCTCCTTCTGAGAGTGTTAACATTTCAGACAAAATAAGAAAACTTTGGTAAATTCTGGGAGAGGAAATGGGCTAAATGGTCTGCCCTTCCTTCTTTGCTCTCAACTCCACCATCTCCAATGGCGAAGTCTTCTAGGCCCATATACTGATTCAAGGAGGCCCTCTCTCGTCTACAGCCAGGCCAGGCAAAGATTAATCCCTGGAGAAGCCAGGGGTGAGGTATTACTCCCACAGATGAAGGGGGCCTATAAGCCTTAATAGTTACTGCACACTTAGTACTGAGCCTGGCACACTATAAGTGTTTTACAGACATCATCTCAGTCTTGGGAGGTCTACGTTATCAACATACCCATTATACAGGTGGGGAAAAAAACTTCAGAAGTTCGGTAACTTAGCCAAGGACACAGCTGAAGGCCAAAGTCTGTACCCATGACCATTTGCATTATTACAGCTCCCAGGGGTAGATATAGGAAAGGGGGACCCCTGCTTGACAGTTCAGATTCCCCTGATGCCCTTTGACCTGACAAGCTCTTCATTAAGAATTGGAACAGGGAGGTCCAGTTGGTGCCCCCAGGAAGAACTAGCCCAAACAGCTTGGGTTGAGCCTCTGTCCCAGTCCTCAGCTGTCCACTCCTGACTCTGCATCTTCTCTCTGGATGGTGGTGTTGGAGCTGCTGGAGGGCTCATCCGGGGAGGCAGCCATGGCAGATGCAGCTGGCAGTCTCAGCCTTTGCTGCTTCTGATACTTAACCCTGCGGTTTTGGAACCAGACCCTCACCTGTAATTGAGGCAGTGAGAAGAGATCAGAATGTGACCAGCAGTTCCCACTGCTTCCCCCATTCCCACAGTCCCCACTCCTCTCTGGTCAAAATTTACTCTTCATTCTAAGGGAAGCACACCCTTCCCTCTAATGCCAGTCACCACTCATTCACTCAGCAAATATTTATTGAGCTCCTGATATGAACTAGGCATCACCCTAGGTGACAGTGATAATAGTGAGCAGTAGAGGCATGATCTCTGCCCTCATGGAGCTCATAGTCCAGTGGAGGGAGACTAATAACAAACATGGAAACAAATGTATAAACACAAAAGGGGGTATGAACAGGGGTTTGAGCCTCCCTGAAGAACCAGCACTTAAGCTGAGGCTCAGAGGATGAGAGGCCAGCCCGATGGGAACAGAGAAAAAAGCAAGCCAGGGCAGGGGAACCAAGCTTGGAGCGTCTGAGGACCAAAAAGGAGGACAGCATGGCAGGCACATCTGAGAGAGGAAAGCAAAGGAAGGGAAACTGTGAAGGCCATGGGTTAGAAGTGTCAACTTTGAGCTTTTAAGTGGGATGAAACACAGTCCTATTTACATGTCAAGTAAACTGCACATCTGGCAGTTGTGTGAAGAATGGATATAAACAGATTTGGGGAGATAGCTGGGGAGACTATTGCAGGGATCTAGTGAGAGCTGGGGCTGCACACTCCCTTCCCTGTGTGATGAGAAAAACAGTCCCATTTGGAACTGGGGGCAATGGAGAGAAATGAAATGATTCCAGTTGTATTTTGGAGGTAGAAGTGAAAAGGCTAGCTGATGGATTGGAAGTGGGAGAGAAAGAGGAATCTAGGATGACTAAGTGTTTTGAGCAACTGGGTGGACGGTGGTGCCATGTGTGGGAAAAGGAAGAGATATGGGGAGAAAAAAAAATCAAGAATTGAGGTTCTGACTTAAGTTTAAAATGGCTACCCACAAGACATCCAAGTGGAGGCCGCAAGAAGGTAGTTAGATGTACAAGTCAGGAAAGAGAGGTGGGCTGAAGATAAAAATTAGGGAGTCATTGGCTTACAGATAGTATTTAAAACCCATGGGGATAGATTAAATCAGCTAGGGAGGAAAATTCGAGGTCACAAAGAGAAGAGTTGCCTACAAAGGCAACCAAGAAGAAAGGACCAAAAAGCCAGGAGAAAAACCAAGAGAGTGTGGTGTCTGGAAGCCAAGAGAAGAGTGTATTTCCTAAGAGAAGGAGTGGTTGCCTGTACTGAGTGGTGGGGTAAGATGAGGAAAGGAAAGCATCTGCTGACTTTGGCAACATGGAGGACATTAGAGACCTTGAGGAGAAGGTTCAATGAAATGGTAGGTAAAGAATTCACAATGCAATGAGTTAAGAGTAGATGGGAGGTGAGGACATACAGAGAACATAGCCAGTTCTTGATAGGTTTGCCTCTGAAAAGAGCAGAGAGATGATGCAGTAGCCAGAGGGGAATATGAGGTCAAGGGAATGTTTATTATTTTTAATATTTAGTCCCTTGAATACCTACTTAATTTCACTGTCAGCTCCTTATTTAGCATGGAGACATTACATTATAAAGTTCTAGATTAACACCATGTGTTGTTTCCATAATGTGATTTCAAATAGGACTATTTTTCTCAACATATAGGGAAGGGAGTGTGCCAGTGGTTAGGGCCTGTCTCCCCCATCGGCATGGCACAGAGGATGAAGGCCTATAAATTCCTCCCAGCCCCAACTCAGGGTCTTTGAGAGAGTAGTATCTGTCCCTAGGTACAGCCCGGGCCCCACAGGAGTCCCTGCTCTCACCTGGTTCTCTGTAAGGTTGAGCTGGGCTGCCAGCTGGGCTCTCTTCTTCCCCACTAGATTGTGCTGTTTTGCAAACACTTTCTCCAACTCTTCCAACTGCTCCAAGTTAAACATGGTTCGGACCCTCTTTTGGGATCTCTCAGTGTCCTGAAGGTCCTGAGCTTGGGCCCAGTTGCAGGGACCCCAGAGGCCTAGGCAGTGAGCCAGCTCCAAGCCTGAAGAGCAATTAGCAGGAGGAGAGGTTAGCCAGTAACCCCCTAGCTTCTCATCTTAGAGGAGAGAGAACAAGCTCACAGCTCCACTGCCCTGTCTTACCCTTGGCCAGGTAACACAGCAAGAAGGCAGGGTGGGAAGAGACTGCGCAGAAGTAAAACAAATGAAAAAGAAGGGACAGTGTTGTGAGACCGCTTCGGGCTCCATTATTCTTCAAGTGAGTGGCATAATCTTTGGCCCTAAGAGGAGCTGCCAAACCTCCATCTCTCCTTTCCTTTCCTTGGCTACTTCAGGAAAACCCTATGGGATGAGCAGAGAAGAGACCTGCTTCTGAACAAAGAGTGAGGGTTCATCCTTTTTGTTCATTCAACTTTTTGAATGTCTACTATGTTTTAGGCATGGTTCCAGGACAAAACAGAAAATCCCTAATAGTAAAAAAAAGGCAAATAAGTAAAATATTGAGTATGTCAGAAAAGGATTAGCACTAGTGAGAAGAATAAAGCAGGGAAGGACAGGGTTAAGTGTGTGGGAGGGGGAGGGGGGATAGTTTGTATCTTTAGAAAGGTAGACACCTCACTAAGTTGACACTTGAACAGGGCCACTATGTATAGCTTGTGCCCTGCACACAGGTACCCAGCTGAGAGGGTAAGTGGAGTCTGAAATTCTGACCACTCTCCACAGGCCAATTCTTCCTGCCTGACAAGGTGTTGTGCCAGCTTGAAGTTAGGGGGTGACCTTTTCTAATGCACACAAGGGTGCTTTTCAGCTCATAGAGCTGTGGGCCAGCAGAGATGGAGATTGGTCTGCCAGAGGGCAGTACCTGAGTCATAACTCCAAAGGAGTGAGGAAGTAAGCCCTTGGGCTAGCTTGGAGGGAAGTGTTCCAGACAGAGGCCTGGCAAGTGCAGTGCTAAGACTGCTCAGCTCCCACTAGCCTTGGGGAGGCTCCAGGGCTGGCAAACGAAACTGCCCCAGTGAAGGGAGTGAGGCCTGGCTGCCCAAGACCCAAACCACTGGGCTCACCTGGCTTACCATAAACATAAGCATTAATAGAAAACTATGAAGAACAATCAATGGGGCCAGATTTAAAATATGGTACATCCTAACAATGGACCATTCTGTGGCAAAGAAGCTCTGCATGGACTTACAAGGAAAAATCTCTGATTCACGGTCAGGTGAAAACAGTAAGGTGCAGAGCAGTGTGTCTAGTATGGGGGTTAGAAGAATGTGTGTGTGTTTATGTATGTATATATATATTTATTCTCACACATATATACGTGTGTGCAGGTATAAAATACCACTGGAAGAATAAAGAAACTGGTGTCTGGCTGCCTGCGGGGTGGGGAGAACCAGGTGGCTGGGGGACAGGAGTGGTAAAGGAAACTCTTTTCCATACTATATCTCAGTTAACATTTTGAAGTTTGAACTGTATGGATGTAATACCCATGCAAAAACTAACTTGAAAATGAGACAACCATATACAAAGTCGTAAACTGCAATTCAAACCTCAGGTGTGTGGGGATGTTAGAAGAAGGTGGCTTGGAGTGAGGGCTGTGGCTCTTATTCATGGCACGAATTTGGATGGGGTTGGGAGACCAGTGTTTCTCTCCCACATGGTTAGGAGAAATGCCAGCTGAAGGGAGTTGAGGAGATGCAGGATGGGGGGAACCCAGGAAGTAGGAACCAGGTAAGATTGTCTTACAAGGATCTTGGTATGGGTCAATAATGCTTGCACTAACTTTGCTTCTGTTTTCCTTCATGGGAACCACGCAGACGCATGAACCAGAGAGCCAAAAATGGCAGAAACTCGTGTAGATGGATGTTAATGCTAGAGGAGAAAGTTACCTCAATGGTTAAAGTCTCGCTGGGATTTAAGTGACTGCGCTCAAAGGACCCAGAGCCCCAAGGTACCACTCTAAGAGCTATAAGCAAGCAGGCGCAGAGCCGTAACCGCGTCGGCTAACTCCCAACAGCTCCTCGCTGGAGGGTACCAGCGGCAGCATCCGCTTCTCCCGTCTAAGACCGGGCCCTGGGTTCGCGACGAGAGCCGCTTTGGGAAAGAGCCTGCGCCACCAAGCATTATCCGAAGCGGGTGTGGGAGGGAGCAAGGGCCTCTACCAATCCCTCGTCCAGCGACGCGGGGCTGGGCCCCCTGCAGCCCTGCGCTGGTCCTAGTTGTCTTCCGAGCCCCCTCTGGCACGCCCTCACCTCCCGCTCCGCACCCGCCTCACCACACACACCTTCTCCCACCTCAGCGGAGGGCCGGGCAGCCTCCCACCCGGTCTGGGTCCCTCTCTCCGCCCGGTATCAACGGCAGGCTCAAGGGTCATAGCGTTTCCACCCACTCTAACAGTGTGTGGCTCTCAAACTCGGGGACTTCTCCTCTACCCTGTGCCCACCGTCGCGGCCGTCCGCCACCTCGTACCTGTGACGCCGAGGCCCTGGAGGCCGCAAAAGTGGGCGGTGCGCAGCCGCAGCACCGGGAGCTGGGGGCACCGCTGGTCGAGCCCCGCGTTCAGGTAGGCGGGCAGCCACGTAGCCGGGTACGCGCTGGGCAGAGCCGGAGCGGGAGGCCGGGCGGGCGCGGTCCAGAGGCCCCCGGCAGCGCCGGCGGAGACAGACAGAGAGGAGATGGCGGGCGCACGGCGGTCGGGTCTGGCCAGGATGGCCTCGACAGAGAAGGAGGACTCGAGGCGTCCGGTTGCACAGGGTGGGCCTGGGCCTGCCGAGCGGCGCGGCAGCGCGGGGGATGCGGGCGCGGGAGACGCGGGCGCGGGAGAGCAGCTGGAGCGCGGGCGCTGGACCCGGGCGCCCGAGGTAGCGGGCGGCCGGCAGCCTCGCTGCCCGGGGCTGGGCATGGCGCGGCCCTTGCCCGGACGGGCGCAGGGAGGGGAGCCGGGGGCCTCTGGGCTGTGTGGGCAGCGCGAGAAGAGAGTGAGGACACCTGCTTTAAATAAGGGAGCGAGCCTTGCTGTCCAGGAACAGCCGCCGCTGCCGGCGAGGTCTCTTAAATTGGACAGGGTGGGGCCGGACTGGCCGGGCCTTTTCTTCCCGCAGCCCAGGCACCGCCTCCCGGGCGCAGCCAACCCCGCAAAGTCCCAAAGCTCCGTGTGCCCCAGCGCCCTCCCTCCTTACGCATTAAAAAAAATCCCACCCCCAACCCCAGCCCGTGCTGTCGGGTAAAGGACCCTGAGCTCGCTGTGACTTGCTGGTGATCCTGGGCGAGCCACCCTGCCAGTGTAGATGGATGTTAAGCTTTGCCTTCAAGCTTTAGCTCATCCTCTCACTGTCTGTGAAGCAGAAGCCCCTGGCCACACTCACCTGTGACTGCGCAAGCCCTTAAATTAAAAAAAAAAATTAATTTAAATATCTTGTTTAACCACTGTGAAATGTAAATTTCCCACCTTTCCCTGACTGGAGACACTGCTGTAGTTACCAATTTCTTTTGAGTCTTTCCAGGAACTTTCTGCACCCACATTACTTAGGGCCCACTGGAAAAATCTTTCCTGTATTCAAAAAAGTAGAAGGGTAAAAACATTAATGGTTCCAGATTAAGAAATACTAATTTATTGCAAATGCATGAGAGTTGATGTCCTACAAAACCTGAATTATGTAGGTGTAAGGCAGGCATTTGTATCCAGTTTTACAGTTGGATAATCAGTATTTACCCATGTCCTTGGGCAAGTTACAAGTTGCTGTTTGAATTTCTTCACCTGTAAAATGGATAACGATGGTAGGTACCTCATGGAGTTGCTGTGTGATTACATGAGTTAATGCATGTAAATCATTTAGAATTGGCCGGTGAGCACTATGCTGTGATTGCAGAGTTCTGAGGGATTCCTGCCTTCCAGGCTCCCATAGCATTCTGCCTCCCCAAATCAATGCCTAACATTGAAACCACTCTACCAGGTCGAGGTGCAGTTCAGTGGCATTGTCCATAGGTATCAGCTGTTTGGAACACCAACATGCCCTATCTGTTCTGCAAAGTAAGGGCTGGAGGAACCTTGCTGGGTTCCTGCCCTCCCCCACTTCCTAATTCAGCAACTACCGGCCCTGCCTTCTGAGCAACCCCCCAGGCAGCCTGGAACGTGAGATTGTGGGCAAAATGATGTGCAAGCGTCCGATCTGATCCCAGGTGTAGGCTTACTGTGTTCTGACCAGAGTACGCAGGGTCAGAGAAGAGGATACAGGAATGAGAGCCCTAGGGATGGGGCATGGATGGGAAGGACTCTGTCTTACGTGAGGTCAGACCCACTGGGATTTGGAAAGTTCTAGATGCTCCCCCCTCCCATAACTCCCAAATCTTACACACACCATTCCATTTCTCAACGTGTTTCTTTTGGAGGAGCTTTTTCTCCAAGAAGGAGGGGCTGTGTTACCCCCCCACCCCACCCAGGACCCACCCAGACTGCAGTGCCAAGGCACCAGAAGCAGGCCTTGTGAGCCTGGATACACACACCCACTTTTTTGGGCCCACAAAGACAGCAGCTTATGCAGTCAGGGAACAGTGGAGCAAGATGATGGAAAATGTGGATTTTGGAGTTGGACAAACCTGGCTTCAAATCCCAACTTTGTCACTGAACTTTTCTGTGACTTCAGATAAGTGGCCTATTCACTCTAAGCCTCAGTTTCTTATAAAATGGGAATGGTCTCTTAAGTGAGAAAATCATACCTAATGGGATTCTTACAAGAGTTGAATGAGATTGAGTTTTTAGCTACATGCTAGCTATTATGGGGAGGAGAGAGGCTATTTACAATAACAGCATGCACCCTGGAATCAGGGGAAGTTGACAAAGAACAAGAAAAAGCTTGTAAGATGGAAGGTGTATGACCATTTTGTTAAGTATGTTTGTGCTGAGTTTTAGGTAAAAAATATGGTCACTGTCTCTAGGTCTGGATTTTCCATACATAATTCACTGTATTTCAGTACATAGTTATCTATATTCTGTTGTTTCACTTATTTCTCCTCAAACTGTAAGCTCCTGAGGGTATAGACATTAATATCCTCAATTTACATATAAGTAAATAGAGCAAGAGAGGTTAACAGACTGCCTAGGTTCAAATCCCCTAGCTATTTCACCCTTAGCAAAATTTGTTTTAATTTACATTTATTTCCCTGAAGACTGTTCAAGTTGAGCATCTCTTCTTAAACTTATCAGCGATTTGGATATCCCCTTTTGTGTGAAGCGCCTGTTCCAGTGGTTTCCTTATTTTTCCATTGGGCTACTATCTTTTTCTTATTAATTTGTAAGAATATTTATGTATAGATAGAGATAGATATTTTGGAATCAAGTCTTTTGTTAAATATATATATATAAGCAAATATCTTCTTCCACTCTGCGGCCTGCCTTTTCATTCTTTTAAAGTTTTCTTTTGGTGAACAAAATTACTAATTTTAATCAAGCTTAATCATCTGCTTTTGTGTCCTTTAAAAGAAACCTTTGCCTATCCAAAGTCATGAAGATATTCTTCTGTTATTTTTAAAATTCTTTGTTATTTTACCTTTTATATTTAGGTCTGGAATTGATTTTTGTGGAGGTGTTAGAAAAAAGACTTTTCAAGGATGAGTCAAAATCTGAATCAATAAAGGAAAATATTGATTGATTTAAATACACAAAAATTTAAAAATTAATTATAATAATGGTTTGTAACTGTACTTTGTTTTCTAAATGATTTGAGACTAACACATTTGAAGAAAATATTATTAGTGTGAAAGCTAGTATTACTGTAATTTTTATTTGTAATTCCAAATCTTGTTTTCTACATAATTTGAGATTAATGCATTTAAAATAAGTATTAGCTTATGTTTTGGGGCACACACCATATAAAAATGTAATTTTGTTACATCAACAACTGAAAGAGAGTAGGGATGGAGCTGTGAAGAAGCAGAGTTTTTGTATGTTATCAAAATTAAGCTGGTATAAATTCAGATTAGAGTGTTATAACTTAGGATGTAAGTTAAATGTAATGCCCATGGTAACCACAAAGAAGATAGCTATAGAATATACATAAAAGAAGATGAGAAAGAAATTTAAACATTTCACTACAAAAAATTGACTAAACACAAAAGAAGACAATACTGTAAGAAATGAGGGACAAAAGCTATGAGGCATACAGAAAACAGCACGATGACAGAAGTAAGCCACTCCTTATGAATAAAGTAATAATCAATTACTTTAAATTACTTTAAATAGATTGAACTCTCCAGTCAAAAGACAGATTGGCAAAATGGATAAAAATACATGAACCAACTATATGCTCTATACAAGAGACTCACTTGACAAGCAAAGACATAAACTGGTTGAAAGTGAAAGGATGGAAAAAGATATTCCATGAAAATAGTAACCAAAAGAGAATAGGAGTAGCTATACTAATATTGGACAAAATAGACTTTAAACCAAAAAAAAAAAAAAAGGGTTACAAGAGACAAAGAAGGACATTATATATTAATAAAATATTCAATACAGGAAGAAGTATAATAAACATTTATGTACCTAATGACAGACCATCAAAATATACAAAGCAAAAATTGACAGAATTGAAGGGAGAAATAGTTCAACAATAATAGTTGGAAACTTTTATATCCTACTTACAATAATGGATAGAACAAATGGAGAGAAGATAAGTAAGGAAATAGAAGACTTAAACAACACAATTAACCAACTAGATGTAACAGACAAATACAGAACACTCTACCCAACAACAAAAAATGTAAAAATTTTGTACATCAAAATATGCTATAAACAGAGTAGAAAGGCCACACAGGATGGGAGAAAATATTTGCAATTTTATATCTGATAAGGGATTAATATCCAGAATATATAGAGAATTCCTAAACTCAACAACAAAATAGCAAACAACCTGATTCAAAAATGGGCAAAAGACTTGAATAGACATTTCTCCAAAG